AGACTGATTCATATCAAGCACTCACCCAGTCCAGGGAGTCTGTGTTGAGTGTATAATTTGTGTCCTTCCATTCAGACTCATCGGTGGACTGAAAGCTAACTTCCTTGATAGAGAAAATGTCACTCTCAGCCTCCTCCTCTTGTCCAACCTGAGAAGAAACAGCATTTGTGGAAACTGAAGGGTTTTCCAGGATAAGCCAGACTCATGCAAAGAAAAGGACAGTTTGCAGCTTGAAACTTACCAGGTTTTAACTTTGTTTCCTCACCTCCCACCTCTCTTCCCCTACTTTGCTGGTTGAAGCTAGAAAATCTTGTAAGTGTCCAGTAAGAGGGCCCAGAAAGGTCCCAGGAAACAATTCTGGTCCCCATGGGTGCCAAGGAGCTAGCACCCCATCCTACATACCTCATCCTCTGGATAGTGACAGTCCAACACAAGCGCCTTCTTGCCATCCTTCTTTATAACTTCAACCACAAAATTGGGAGTTGATGTCAACTCAGGCTGGAGAAAGCAAGTCAGTACATGTCATTGTAGGAAGGGGTTGGATGCTTGGACGAAAAGCTTCAGTTTAGTGTCTGATGGCCACCTCTATTTGATTATTTAGCCATTTTTATCCTCAAGAATTTTTAACACAGTATTAAGCAGTGCCTCACTTCTATAAGCACTCCACTTGTTTTTTTAAATATTATTTTTTCATCCTATTCATTTAAAGAACACACTGGGTTTAGAATTAAGAAATCTGAATTCCAGCCCCACTATATGACAATTAACTGAGATTTAGATCAGATCAGTCCCTTAACCTTCCTGGGCCTGTTTCTCCATTCATACTCTGCAAAGCTAGACTAAAGCTCCAGATTTCTTTCCAGCTTGACTGTTTTTGGAGTCTGTCTTTATTGCGGACCAGGATCAAAGGCTGGCACAGTTAGCTAAGTGGCTGTTATAATGGCAGCAGCTCTCCCTGCTTTGATGGTGAGCCCTGGGAGTAGACAGAGTGCAATGTCAGGGAGATGCCAGTGGGGTGGCTGAGAAAGAGACACCCCAGAGAGCTGTGCTCTCCACACTAGGTAATGAGACGATACTGATGCCTGCTCAGTCAGGTCTGGGGACCCTGTGGCCCTCATACTGGCTGGTTGCTAGGCGAGGCACACCACGTCCTAAAATGTCTGAAGACTGGGCACCATCCAGGTCCAAACAGGAAGGCCAGCAATGTAAGGAAACATCTCACCTGGCCAAATGTTAAAATCTCTCATGCCACTGGCTTTCCTTCCTTGTTAAGTGGCTGGTGTTTATTACCAGCTTGTGACCTGTTAGGAACATTCCTCACCTAGAAACACTCCAAACAATAATCTGCGATATCAAACATCTCCCTATCATGGGAAGGGTTGAGACAGTTTCAATTCCTTTCCATTAAGAGAACACAGGCCAGACTATAAAGCCTGAGCCTTCAGAGGGCAATTTATTCAGTCCCTGGGAAAGAAAGGGAGCGATAGGTCTGGTGCTAAAGCTGGCCAGAAACCACCAATTCTGCTGTTCTACAGGTCCCAAGGATAAGTGTCTTTTGCCTTCTCCCTTCTAGCATTAGAGGAACTAAAAAACAAAACAAAAAACAAAAGAAAGAAGCTCCTTCTCTAAGCCCCTGGAGTAGTCTGTCAGAACTGAGGTAAAGGGGGCTGGCCTGTGGCTCACTTGGGAGAGTGTGGTGCTGACACCACCAAGTCAAGGGTTAAGATCCCCTTACCAGTCATCTTAAAAAAAAAAAGAACTGAGGTAAAGGCTGCTTATATTGTTCCACACTCACCTCCTGTTCTTCAACCTTCTGCCCTTGTGAGGACGACTCCTCACCATCAAATGTTGGTGGGATACTATTGTTAATGTTGAAAGTGACTGTGATCCTAGAAAGGCAAGAAAACACAACAAAGTACAATATGGAGGCCTGCTACAGTTAAAAAGGCTTGTTGAAACAATGTTTCTATCCTCGCTGGCTGTTCATCTGAATTATTTGTAGAACTTCCCAAAAAGCTTGGGTGCCTACATCCACTCGTGAGACTGATTCAGCAGGTCTGAAGTATGCCTACTATGCCAACTGCTGGAAGTCGAACTAACAGGCCCTAGTTTATCCTAGCCAGTCATGCATGGGCTACTTCTACCAGGCCGGCATCCCAGGGCTCACTGCCATGTGTCCACTGGTTATCTCATGGCCACAGCAAGCTGACACTGCCCACCCTGGTCTTTGCAGGGAACCCTCCGGTGGAGGGGGGCAGCCGAGAAGCTAGTGGGATGGAACAGAAGCCCCTTTAAGAGCTTTACTCCATCACAAAACCTGCCCCTGGGAGGAAGGGAAGGAGGAACACTGGAGGATTGCATTAGCTGAGGAAAAAGAGCAGCCCTGGTCCCAGGGCTTCACAAAGAACAGTATGCCGCAGTACAGATTCATCCCTCAGAGTACTTGTGGGAAGTTTTATCATCACAAACAAGCCAGAAACCCAACTGACGATTTTAGGGTGCAAGAATCCTCACTCAACAAACTCTGTTCCAAAGTTTGAGTCAAAATTCCTGTAACATGAAATTTGGAACTAGAACTGCTGGGCTGTGCAACCCCAGCAGTTACTAGTCCATAAGAGTACATTAAATGCTGCCCCCCTCGAGTTGTTCTAACTGGCTGCCCGACCAAAAAGCCACTTTCCCATAGGAACAATGGCAGTTTGAGGTTCAGCCACGAAATCTGTCTAATCTGCAATACTACTGACCAAGTAGAGCTCCTGGGCACAGAAATGCAGTAATGTTCATCAGAGCATTATTTATAATGGCCCAAACTGACTATGAAAATCCTAGGAAAATGGTTTAGGTGCAGTTACAGAATACACAATTGACCTATGTGTGTGTGTGTGGGGAACCCATACATACACTATACACTAGGCAAAAAAGAATCAGAACCCTACTTCACACCACATACAAAAATTAACTCAAAAACATAAGAGCTAAAACTATAATCTTAGAAGAAAACAGGCATGAATCTTTACAACCTTGGACTAGGCAATGCCTTCTTAGATATGACACTAAAAAAGCACAAGTGACAAGAGAAAAAATAGGTTAACTGGACTCCATCAAAATTAAAAACTTGTATGTCAAAGGACAGTACCAAGAAAGTGAAAAGAAAAACCCACAAGATGGGAGAAAATACTTGCAAATCAAATACTTGATAAGGGAATTGTACCCAGGATATATGAAGAATTCTCACAACTTAACAATAAAAACAAAACAACAATAAACAACAACAAAAAAACCCCCAAATTTAAAAATGGGCAAAGGGTGTGAATGAACATTTCTCTAAGGAAAATATACAAATAGCCAATAAACACATGAAAAGATGCTCAATTTCATTAGTCATCAGAGGAATCACATCGAAACCACAATGAGGTATCACTTCACATCCAGTATGGTGGCTAAAATAGGAAAAATGGACAATAAGCATTAGCTATGATGTGGAGAAATTGGAACCCTCATACACTGCTGGCAGATTGTAAAATGCAACCACTTTGGAAAAAGTGTGGCACTTCTTCAAACAGTTAAACAGAGTTATCCTATGACCCCAGCAATTTCACTCCTAGGTATATACCCAAGAGAAATGAAATCATGTCTACAGAAAAACTTATATACAAATGTTCACAGCAGCATCTCTTCATCTGTATTCTTTGTAATATCCTTTATCATAAACTGGCAAATATGTTTCCCTGAGTGTTTCCTATTATTCATAATTGCAAAAAAGTGGAAACAAGCCAAATGTCCATCAACCAATGAATGGTTAAATCAAATGTGATATATCCATACATTGGAACATTACTCAGCCATTAAAAGAAACTTTTAACATAGGAATAAATGGGGCTGGCCAGTAGCTCAGTTGGTTAGAATGTTGTGTTATAACACCAAGGTCAAGTGTTCGGATCCCCTTATTGGCCAGCTGCCAAAAAAAAAAAAAAAAAGTAATAAACTCAGTTCCTCTTACTAGACTCTCACAACACACTTCTGACAACACATGTGTGAGGGTTCTTTCCCACACATCAAGAAAGCAGTCAGTTCAACAGACACCAGCTGGGTGTCCTCCAATTCAATTCTGACAGTCTATCTGGAGACAGAGTGCCAGATCCCAAAGACTGAGGGCTCAGTCCCATAATTCTGCTCATTTCCATGCCAACTGCAAACCCCAGGTGGTTTTATTTGCGCTTCTGACCTACCAGCTATCGTGGTTCCTATGACCCTCTCCTTGGGTTCAATTAATTTGCTAGAGCAGCTCACAGAACTCAGGGAAACACATTTACCAGTTTATAATAAAGGACATTACAAAGAATACAGGTGAAGGGATGCACAGAGCAAGGCATGGGGGAAGGGGCATGGAGCTTCCATGCCCTCCAGGAACCTCCACGTGTTCAGCTATCCAGAAGTTCTCTACACCCAGTCCTTCTGGAGTTTTATGGAGACTTCATTACATAGGCATGATTGATTAAATCACTGGCAGCTGGTGACCAACTTAACCTTCAGCCCCTCTCCCCTCCCTAGAGGGTTGAGGGTAAAGCTGAAAGTCCCAGCCCTGTAATCCTGCTTTGGTCTTGCTGGTCACCAGCCGCCATCCTGAAGCTACCCTAGGGCTGCCAGCCGTCAGTCAACTTATTAGCATACAAAATCTCATCATCTTTAAGATTCTAAGGATTTTAGGAGTTGTACCAGGAGTCAGAAGACAAAATACATACATATTTCACAATATCACAGAAACTAAGTATTGATACATGCTACTACTACCAACATGGATGAACCTCAAAAACATGAAAACATGATGCTAAGTGAAAGAAGGCAAACACGAAAGGTAACACTGTATGATTCCATTTATATGAAATGTCCAAAAAAGTCAAATCCACAGAGAAAGTAGCTTAGTGGTGACCAGGGGCTAGAGGAAGGGAGCAAGAGTGACTGCTAATGGGTATCCTTGAGTGGTGACTGATGTATAACTTTGTCAATTCTAAGAAACACCTAGCTGTACACTTTAATAAAAGGGTGAATTTTATGGCATATAAATCAAATTACAATAAACCTATTATAAAAAAAAAACAAACAGAATTATATATACACCATGAGGTCAGTTATAAAAAAAAATTCAAGGAAAAAAACCCTGGAATATACTAAATCTCCATAACGGGGTTTTTGATAACTATTTAATACAGCATAATATGATTATGGATAACTATATAATACAGAAAAATATAAACGACAATTTAGGAGGAGGAGGAGGAGCTGCACTAGGCCAAAAACTCCCCATCTCTTTCTGATGGCACCCTTTGCTACACTGTAACGCCATCCTGTTACATATCTGGCATTTTCACCTACTGTACACATTACAGCACAGGGGCCTGTTTTATGAAGACTGTAAACCAGAGATCAAACTGATTCCATCTAAAAGAACTTCAGCAGGGAATGGCCTCCCTCATCAGAAAAGTTTTACTGTATGTCTCTACCATTCCAACAGACTCCTAGCTACATACTTTTGTGTTACTTCCTTATTGTCTCCTTACTAACCAGCCCACAACAAATTTGTGTTCAGCGAATGAGCGACCCGGAGCTTATGAAGTTATCCAAATGAATCCTGTCTCTTGAAAGCCATGTATCATTTAACTAAAGGTTGTTCTGGGGATGACAGGTCCCGCAAGGTCATGGATTTGGTGCCCTAAGACCCCAAACTAGTACTTACTTTTCCCCAGCAACTTTCCGCACTAATTTAGCTTCTGTCCCATTCACTTCCAGCTCCCAACCTCCAGACATCTTGGGGAGGGACTTATGCTTCTGGATTTTCTTTTCCTCCTTAATCTCATCACTCAGGAATTCAACAAAAGCTTTGTCTCCTAGAAGGAAAAGCCAGTTGATACAGAAAAAGAAAAGCCAATTAATCTAAGACATAAAACAATTACCCAGGTTATTGCAGCCAGAAATCTGGATTTGGATTGTTTCTAATCTCTCTACTATTTTGACTGCTCTAGGATCTTAGTCCAATTCACATCATTAAGTCTCAGTTTTCACATCTGTAAAAATACAATATTATTAGTGGGAAGCTGAGTTCGATTCTGGAAAAGTGACTTCCAACAATAAAGTCTACCACCTTTCGCTATAAAGCAAAATAATTCCCCATTACCCTCTTCTACTCGCCGATATAACCATGCTACTTTCAATCGCGACCTTGAGCCTCATCCAGTATTTAATTTTCTCTCTCCCCCAAAAAGACGAAACACGTGGCGGATGGGGGGAGGAGAGGGAATGTGATCACACGTGGGTTCAACCCACTGGTTGCCAATCAAGAGAAAAATGTCCCGGACATGGGGCGTCGGTTCCAGGTGGTTCACTCCTGGTCTACGTCTTCCCCCCTTTGGCCCCGAGCCCCCCGCGCGCGAG